CACTTAAATCGGATCAAAAAAAATATATCAATCGAATTGAGAACCTTCTCCTTTTGACGTCGATTAATTATATAATATATTGTCTTACTTCAATAAAGCTTACGAGCGACATTATTTTGGATTAAGATACATTTCAGTGAGGAGCACAGTATTTTAAATATTAAAGAGTATTATAAGATAAAATACAAAAATGCCTTTCTACGGTATAATAATAATAAGAAAAGGGTATCCATGATTTTACCCACGTCCGAAATAGAGTTCGTCTCCGGCCGGCTACACAATTTAATGAATGAGAAAAGTAAAATGCCCTTAAGGCACATACTATTATACAAAGCTTGCGTACGGCCAATCATGTCCTACGCATGCATGATCTTCGCTCATACAAACCCTACTCGTATTAAAAAATTGCAAGTAGTTCAAAATAAGTTTATTCGCCGCGCAACCGGTACGCAATTGTATCAGCGCATCGTCGACCTGCACAGCGATTTCAGACTCCCGACGATTCGCGCATATTTTAAAGATTTGACCAAACGGTTCTTCGATAGAGCCCAGCATCATCCCAACCCTCTGGTGGTAAGCGCAGCAAATTACCAACCCGACACTAACGCGAACGTCAACAAGCGTCGCCCGCGAAACGTCTTCATCGACCCGGTCGAGGAAGGGGACTTAGATACTTTGGACCCACCGCCGGGGGTCCCGCCGGATAACACTACACCCACATTTAGTGTAGCAACAAACACATTAGTTCGCCCTCGCCTCCGAGCACGGCGAGACCCACACAACGCGTACACAAGGTACACCCGCGTTCCGGGGCGGTTCTCACCGCTCCCAGCCACCGATTAGCTAAATGCACAGTCGACGGCCGTCGGGGTCTCGGTCCGAACCGGCGACCTCAACGGCCCTTAGATGACACGCCATAGTAGTTAAACACACGCATGAGCACATGCGCGACCCTACCCATAGCGGAGGGTCCAAACCCGTGGGTTCTGGCTAGCCCACCGGTTCTGCGTCCGATGAAGCTTTAATAGTCTCGTTTTAGTATTTAGAATCAATTTCACTGTCATAACGAGACTGTCACCGAGGTCGAATAATCTTATTAATGATTATAGAATAAACTTAGTTATAAATGGATCTTTATTTAAAAATGGACGGATTCAAATCAAAATCATTTTACTCAGTGGTAAAGTAAATAGTTGTATTTCTTAATGCACGTTGTAGGTTCGTTGATCTTTGTAAATCGTTCTCATGTTTTGATTAATATTAAACCCACCCCAACTTTACAAACATAAATACTGCAAATACAAATAAAGGCATTTTATTACTAAGATCTCAACAATATTAAAGATATATTCCTTTGTTAGTAACAGTTTTATTGCTGATAGAACATAATATCTGATATGTAATATGGTGGGCGAAGAATGCTTCAGTCGCATCCCTTTATTGAAAAATGAAATCCTTATAAACCTAGCCACTTAAGGAACAATATCAAAGAATAAGACATATTGTGTTTGGAAAATTGTATATTTGCATTCATTGAATGCTGTCATGCGGAAAACTGCCTACCTTATTCTATTTCATTTAGGAAATGCGACGTGCTTTACGGTGGTTTGCCTCCAATAAGGAGATGTCTTTGATACTATGTCTGACTGAGAAGATACTCCAATCACTTCCTGCTTCTATATGACGTTTCGTATCTCTCAGCAATTAATAGATTACATTCAAAAACACATATATATATATATGTACTCTTACACTTTAAAAATCTCTACTAGCACTGAAAAGTTTATAATAAAACTACGTTTAAAAAGGCCGACTAAAAATAATAGTATTTTATTAATAATACAAAAGGTATTAGATTTGCATAAGAGGTAAATCTTTATTAAGTTATTTTATACCTTTCATATTTTGAAGTCGGTTTTTTAAACTTAGTTTTTTTATTATTTACTTTTAAGTGGTCTGCAACAGGTTGTTGTATGTAGTTATATTGTAGTAGGATTTTTCTAAACAACAAAATTTTCGTAAACTACAACATTTCGTTGCTTTTTATCATATATTAAATAGTATTTTTTTGTAAATCTATTTATATTACTGTCCTATATGTTATATACATATATGCACCCAGATACTGGAAAAACACTATGTACATCACACAATATTTTTCCGGTAATGAGGATCAAACCCACACCCTGCGCAAGAGGAAGGTTCACTATCCACTACGCCATTCGGGTCGTCTATATATTTGATACTTTAACTTTATGCTGTGCTTATACTTTCCTATAGTATATGTTTAGTATATAAAGTTCCATCAAAATGTATCATGCTTTTATTTTTTTTAAATTGAGTGTGACGAAAACAGAAAGATTTAATATTAATACAAGGTATAAAGTTTTAGGATTTAATAAAAATGTCTAATAGGTATTGTACCTACTTACGACATGGGATTATTGAGACGTAGACGATTAATATGGTTAGTTATGGTTAAAGTTTGCAATTTTGTAACATTTCCTTTATATTCTCATGGTGATCATAAGGTATAAATACGACTTGAATCGTTGTACCAGTAAAAAATTCGAGCACTTTAAGTGCGTGAAAAAGTTGTGCCAACCGTAGGGATCATCCCGAGACAAGTCCCCTCCTAAAGTTATTTAGGTCAGTGAGCCGGGCGGGCGGCGTAAGGTAGGTCGTAGTTATCGTGACATTGAACTTGGCGTCCGATTGCCAAATCTTCTGTCATTCTAAACGAATGTGATCGGAGCTCTTTGCCGTTCGTTTATTTTGGCAGTGGTAACGTTTTTTTTAATTTGAAAACTGTCTAAATATTTTACGATAGATTTATTCGTTAAATCTTTTATGATGTCATGTTTTGTAAATAATCTACATATTTTGTTATGTATAGAGCGCGGTGCGTGGAACGTGCTCTCCTGCTTATTGTAACTATTTTTGTAACGTATTTCTATTCTTGTGGTAAATATAATCAGGTAAATGATGATATGTGAGTGTAGTAAATATAATAATTTAGTCTCTGCTTGGCAAAACTTCTTTAAGTCTTTTTCACTGAAATCTTTAAGAACACAACCGTATAGTTCAGGGCTGTCGGTATAATTTTATTTATATTTCAATATCTTCATCATTGGACCTAAATGTATTACGGTACCGAACTATTTTGTATTGCCACAAAACTTATAAAAAGGAATAACAATATTTTATTAAATGTTTTCTTAAAATACTATAAAATTCGGACTTATTTTACTGACGAGATTTTTTTATATCCTCTAATAACCATGCGCTTGAGATAAGAGTTAAATTTAAAACAACTATTTTTGCGCCTTATTTGTTTTATATAATTTCACAATAAAAGTTAATTATTCAGCGAGCGCAAAAACTGATATAAGGTGTTTCATAAGTGATTTATTAATTTGGCATAATACTTTATTTTTACACATAACATAATTTGTTCACCTTATAATTATCCAAAACTTTTCCTACAGCACGCGGAATCGGAAGGACGTGAGATGTATTTATACCGAGAATATCCATGAATTTAGGAAATTGATTGAAACATAATTACAATACAACTATAATGAGGCACTTAGAGTGATTATTGAAAATACGTTCAACTTGGAATCGGAATATTTAGCGAACAGATGTAATAACCCATTTATTGTTACATACACGTGTTTTGAAATTTTCAGGATGCACCATTGACCCAGAAAGAGTCGCTCGTCGCGAATACCAGCGCTGCTATGGCCGGCGTCGTTGTTACAAAACAAGTGCTCCTCGTCGTTAAAATTAGCGAAATTGAGAATATGTCGCATGCGGCTTATTTATAGCATTAGAGAATTGTAAGGGTTCCTGGAGAGTCACGTATTTTCTTCCACCGCGAGCCGTTTCTTTGGATGGTCACGAATACGGTTGATTGTTTGAATGTGTAACCATTTATTTTAGAGCGGAGTTTTGATTCTGTTTTCGGATTGTTTGTGTTCCCTCAAGATCTATTATGTCTTCCTTAAACACTGTGTAATCTTAATGGAAAAATTTCTGAAGTTTTTACTGAAGAACTCATTATGCTTAATTTTCTATAGATTTGACGGAATAATTCATTACAATTTTATTTCATATCGTTTATCTCGGCCGTATGAGTGTCGAATAGCTCTCACCTCGAACAAATTTATTGATATGCGAAACGTTGTCCTAGAAACTATTATTATTAAGACATTTAATATAATAGTTTCTATTATTAATAATGTTTTAACAAAACTCGACTCGACACATTGACAAATTTGAAGCTATTAGATAATAAAAAACGATTATGATCCGGCATTATTTAGACTACGTACTCATTTTTATGCAAACCTTATGGATAAACGTGAGAATTTAATAACGTGATACATATATAGGTTATAATTGCAAATTACCAAAGTTTAATATAAATTTTATCATGCTTACAACCACAATTGAGCGATAAACCAATCGCTTTTAAATATTAACAACCGATTATTGAACAGATGATCGTAGAGGCCGAAAATCTAGCGCTAACATTGTTTTGGAAAGTGAAGTTGCGGTAAATGTAAAAGTAAACTGTCCAGCGTTTGCGCAAATTTTGCTTTAAGTTACTAATATTATTATCCGTTCCCCTTATCACGTGTCCTCGCTCGTGGACCACTCGAAATTTTTCCATGTTCACGTAAAGACGAAGTGTTTGTCCGAGTGCATAGGAAGCGTTATCACGCGGGGGATTGACTCGCAACTGCGAGCATTGACTCACCAGCTCGGCGCGCCCTCCGTGTTGCAGTTTGCTGTGTCCCACGGCGGTTTCGACTGCTTCTGGAAACCGGCACCGCCCCCGGCGAACATTAATGGCGTCTTGCGTACCGACCGTCCACTAGCAGAAGCACCGTACCGCGCGGCGTACGCGCCGCTTCACTGCCACAGCCGTTGCGCGCACGTCAGTCCCATTGTTTACGTCCCCGGAATTCTTCACTGTGTGGTACGGACGGCTAGTCGGCGGCCGCTCGCTCTCCGGCGCGCCCACGGAATATTTTCGGGTAGTACGCGATGTATTCCGGGACACTGTTAACGTCGTTCACCGGCGTGTCTGCGCCGGCGGCGACGGCTTGTTTTATTTCGGGCACCGGCGATTCCTTCTTTCTCCAGCACTTCACGATTCGCGAAGAACAAAGCAGTAACAGTTTTATGATCGGTTAATCGGCGGAGCGAGCGGTGGCGTGCGTCCTGTTAAGCCGAGTGGCGCGGGTCTGCCCGACTTGTTATTAGGCCGAGATTATTTGTAAAATTAGAAACGTTAATTTTATGAGCCGCTCCGTCCGACGACGCGTTTTGGGTCAGTGTCGGAAGGACGGACGTCTAGGAGAAGGCGTGCGGCTTACCAATTTACTAGTGGCTAATTATAAGTGACTATTTCGGTACATTCAATTTACATCAATGAATCGATGTATTTGCCTTTAACGTCGGGTTATTAGAACTTTTTTGAGAGTTAGTAGAGTTCGTATGTATATTAGTTGTTCTTAAGAGAATTTTGAGAAAAGTTTGTCAATCATTTTATAGGGTAAATAAATTATTGCATGGACCAATTTACATAAGATATTGAAATGAATACACTTCTTCTGAAGATTTTTTTTTTTTGTTGAAAAAGTAATATTTTTAAAAATTGTACTTTTTTAATAATACACAGTTTTATAATTATATACCTAAATGTTTCCCGAAATTAAAATATAATGATTCATAGTTATAAACTAACGAAAATCCTATTTATACTGAATGGTTCAATCGGTCTTCAGCAATTGTGTTATTTTGAATACTTTGAATTTGTGTTATTTTTACTTGTCATAACTATTACTGTATTTTATTATTTTGCTGTAACAAAAACAATTTCTTTTTCCAATTTTTCATTTTAATTTAAGATATCTTAGGCCACCAATTAGGTCCATTTCTAACCATTTCAAGGAATAACAGTTAAAAAACCCCAAACTTTTCGAACTTTAAGTAATTGTCGCAATGTTTATTGTACTCTACAAGCTTTACCCGTCTACCATACTGTAATTCGTATTGCTTAAAAATTTTTGCTCAACGAGTTTAGAATTAACTTTGAAAGAAAACACAATTTGTTTGATCGCTACTGTTTATTAATTTATAATTGCCACGTTAGATGCTAAAAAAGCGGAATAAAACGCTTGACATGTTAATTCCGAATCAGAATTAGTATGTCAATCGTTTAGCACAAGTAATATAATAAATACTCAACAATATAAAATAACCGCAAAACATATTTATTTTAAATACTGCCTAAAACAAAACAAGCGATAGATACGTTTCTATCTCATTCTACGCAAAGATCGAAACAGCTGACACGAAGAGTCGTTGCGGATTCTTCTTGGAAAATTACTGACGGCGTAAAACTTCCGGATTGAGCCGGCCGAGTGCTACCAGTGCTACCTGAAATAAAATAAAAAACATACGTATTACTAGCTGTTAACCGCGGCTTCGCCTGCACGGCCGAAAGGAATTAATGAGGTTCTTATTATACAGCAGAATATTACTTGTAAACTTATTGTGTGTAAACAGGGCGACCTCATAGAAGACCGGCAGGAAGTGGAAATGTTATACTTCTGCGTTCCGGCTGGTGAGTGAGGTAGCCGGGGCCCACTTTATTATAAGCTGGCAACGCATCTGCAACCCTACGGGTGTTGCGATAATCAATGGGCGGCGTTTATCCCTTAACCAGCTAGTTTGCCATCGTCTCGCATAAAAGAAAAGAGTAAAATCTTATTAAAGAAGGAAATCCAATTGTACCACTCACTTTCTTGGGTTGCGCGTAGCAATAGCCCCCATCTTTGGTACATTCCCCGTAAATATTTCCAGCATTCGGCGCCTCGACAATGATCCCCCATATAACGTCCTCTTCGTCTGCCATGGGAACATAGAGGCTGGCGAGGATGTAGAAGGCAAAAACGATTATTGCGGCCAAGTAAGCGCAGCGAAAGATTGTACGCATTGGCAAGTGCGCTGCTTCGTTTTGGCGACGCCACTCGTCCAGATTGATATTAGCGTTCATGGCGTATTCATCCAGGGGGTGCATCGTCTCTCTAGAACGAAAAGAAAGTATGGTGATTAATATTTGATGCGCCCCCAACAGTATCCACAGTGTGTCGATAAAAGGTAAACCGCTTCCCACTTAGATTTGCAATAACACTACCGTGTTAGGCGTTACGGCGTTAGGAATGCGTGTCCAACGTGGGGAGAGGGTCTCTTAGTGAATTTTTTTACGGTATTCAGTCAAAATCATGTTAAACCGCGGTAAGGTAAGGTAACAGACTATACATGTCCCACTGCTGGGCAAACCACTTTAACCGCGGGCTATTTAAAAATATAACTCATTCAAATTTTCTTCGAGTTCTTAGTTCAAACTAAAAAGGCTTCATATTGGAAAGAGATTTCAAATTTGCGCCAGTGGCTTTTTAACTTTCTGAATCACTTATTGTGATTAAACGATTTTTTTTTAGTATAACTTTAACAAGACCTTATTTTATATTTCCGTCCCGAGTCTAGTATGATATTTTTAATAAAATAATATTATTTGGAAATAAATAAAAAAAAATATTAACATGTAAAAAAATTTGAAAAATTGAGAAAAATTTGACCGTCGGAGCTTGTATGTTTTGTTAAACTATTGATCAACTGTTTAACATAAATAGTGGATGAGCAATTAGTCCGAGTTTTTATTTACGATCCTGATAGCTGTTCTTTTTTTAATTGCAGTAGGTTTTTTCAAGGCACAAAATGAACAGAATATACAAAAAAATATATGTTGTAATATAGTCACGACAGACATTGCAAATGCATAACTTGAAAAGCCCTCTCCGATGTGAGTCCGCACCCAAACGTAACTTAGAAAAATGCTTTTTGCTTTGTACGGAAACCCTGGAAGTGGGAAGCGTTCTACCTTCCTACCTGTCCACCAATACACACATCTGAAACAAAACAAACAGCATATTAAAAACATTGTCAAATAATATTACATAAATTGTTCAAGAAGTTATGAAAACGGGGTGATATTGTATTGTTTTTGATGCTATCTGGCGTTTATAAATAAACTATTTATTTAACCGGTTAAATGATAACAAATTACTGTTAGTATTAAAATACTTCGAGACTGACTTTTTCTGTTATGATTCCGCAGGCATTCTTAAATACATAATTCGTGTAGGCAAAACGCGCGTTCTTGTTTTGGTACGACGCAAAAATTTATATAAAAAAACTTAATTCACGCGGTGGAAACTCTACAATCGTATCTAAATATTAATTATGTATACAATAAATATGGACCTATTCAGAAATATTGAATTCGCGTGTAATAAAGTACAGGGGCAATAGCCATTACTCCATTTATACTCGCGACTTCATTCACACAATTTCGGTATATATTAATATTGTCAATTTTGGAGTTCACTTCCGCTTGGCGAGAAATAGAATAAAATAACGATATACCAAAGTAAGGGCAAAGTAAGTCGCTCGGCAAATTTATTCCGCTTGAGTCTTCACATATTCGCAATGCTGGCTTAACTTTTACGCGTAATGTATTAAAAATATATCCAAAAAAATAGAATTTCTGGTTAATTTTTAATAATTATTATTTTATATGTTTTACGAATGTACCGAAACAGAGCAGAACTAAATAATCCACAATAAGTTATTGTAATAGCGAAATAGGAAAACACGCGTTGATTATAACTCGGGATTAAAATGCAATGCTCAAATACGCACGAACTTGGTGTTTCCGGAAAATTCGAAACAACGCAGCCGTTAACGCTTACACTTTCTACAGAGACTTACGTGAGCTCCAAATTTTTGAATATGATTAACGCAAAAATCTCCGCAATATCGCAAGTAAATTTTTAGGTGTCTTAGAAAATAAATAATTATTAAATTAATTAAAACTTTAACATTATTATGTCACAACACCGATCACATGAAAAAAAAAACAAAAAAAGCTTATCAGGCCGACTAGGAAAAGCTTAACGAAAAATAGGAGATACAAACTTAAATTATTGAAACAAATAAATTTTTCCCTTCCCCGTCAACGAATTTAATAAACTTTGACGTGCAAGCATCGCTTAAATAAAATGACACAAACAGAAATAAAATGACACTGTAGTAAAAATCAAAAAAACTGTATTCACAAATTAAAGTTTCAAAATGAACACATATCACACACAGCAAAAAATTGAAACGCACCGCTGTCACTGGATTTCTCAAATCACGGGAAATTTCACAATTCCTTCGTCGAGAGAGTCGGAGGAGATATGTAACTTGAAAGCTACCGAGGTATTGGGGATCCCGCGCCGGTACAGCCGTTTTTATAGCCGAAACAGAGTAGGAAATGTCAGAATCGATGAAATAATGTATGCGATTTTAAATTACTTTGTCGTTTTTTCTTTATGCTGTGGGGATTGGGAAATTTAGAAGCTCTATTATGCGATGAGACAAGTATTAATTAAGTATATACACAAGTAGGGTCGGAAAAAGTCCTCAGGGCCGTTTTTCTCACAAAAATCATTACGCCAGCATTTAATTAATCATTTAATTATTCATTTAGTCGTAATTAGGAAAAACAATTTTGAACCATTTGCACTAACAATTTGCAATATGAAAAATTTATACCTCAATATTATTTTAATTTTTAACAAAATTAAATATTTTATAGATATTTGTTACCTCTCTACTCTATAGTCAGGCGCGCGCAACAACGCAGAGTTTGACTCCGCCCACAGGAATTACAGGGTGGGGGTGGAATGGGGGTTGTCTCCTTTTTTTTAACTTTATATTTATTTATCATTATCTTATATAAAGTCGTAATTTTTACTATACATTGTAAATACATTCATCTAATCAAGATTCTATTAAGACGTTGAAAAGTACCATTGATTGTCTTTAAAATTTTAATTGTTGATAATGAATTAGTTATTTATAAATTAAACTTATCCTAAATCTCATTTATGTATGGGGCCACATTTTAAATACTGGTAAATCAAAAAATTCATTTAGTACATTTTACTGATTCGAGGATATGACCAAACAAACAAACAAACATGAACCAACGGTCGCGTGCAAGTATAGTACGGAATCTGATGTGATATTTATTTTTGATATTATCGATAGTGTTATTGTTTTCTTAGATGTGTTAGTTTGTATTGTCTTCATGTCGTTTTTATTGAATTCACGAAACCTCTGGTATATACGGATTCGCGGGCCGTCGGAACTGCCGCTGAAGTTTAGTCAAATATCAAATATTTTTTCAAATATAAATTTCATGTGCAGAGTTTTAAGTGATTAATAAGCTTAATAATACATATTTTAGAACCATCTATTTATAATTATACTAATGTCAAATTGTGAGAAAAATTCTAAGACAATTATTGTGCTAAAAGGGTGAGTAAAAATGGTTCCTGTTATAAAAAACTTTTAGTTATCATTCTTGGAACGTGTTGTAATGTGTTGTAAGCTTATTGACTTATGATTTTACAATTAATTTGTGGCGATGCAAATTTGCCAAAAAAAAGTCATTATTAAGTTTTTGACCTCTGCCGGTTATTTAATCATTATCATTGATTAAAGGTGTTATATTACATACCCTTCACGATGTTTTTACAAACAAAATCTGTACCAATCGAAATTCCGTAAAGTGAGATTTGCCCGTCGGCAAAGTTGTCACTACAATGAAAAATGTATAATTTGATGTTGCTTCAATTAACAATGTTAGGTATTTTTTATTGATATTAGATTAGACAGACAATATATTGGTTGTATACCTTTTTTATATGTCAAGATACATTTGTTTTATATAATATACTAGCGACCCGCCGCGGCTTCGCACAGTTGCAATGTATTATACATATAAACCTTCCCCTTAAATCACTCTATCTGTTAAAAAAAACCGCATCAAGATCTGTTGCGTAGTCTTAAAGATCGCGGGACGGACAGACAGCGGGACGACTTTGTTTTATACTATGTAGTGAATCTAATGCAATCGTTATGTTATAATGACTAGTACTGTTGGAACTAATTATTATTCCGTGTTTCTCTCTATATGAAGTTTAACAAAGTATTAACCAATAACTAATTCCTCTTTCGTTTTTTTACATTAATTCAATACTTTTATTGGACACAGTTTTAAACAAATTGCTGTGTATTATTTTAATATTGCAGTCTTTAACTATGTATGACTAAATAAAATGTTTTAGTGACCATTTGCATCCGAAGAGATATATATCCTGAAACACCTAGAACTTTATGTGATATCTAAATGAGATTTATTGACAAGTTTCTACTAGAATTATATAACGATAATAGCACACTACCGTTATCAATTTTTACATGGCTTTAATTATAATAAATGGTATGAGCACAGATAACGTCTATACAGGTAAAATTTTAACAAAAAAAAAACAGAGCCGATTTCAAAAAAATCTTTGAGCACATAAAGGTTTAAAATACATAATACTAAATTTAATATAATCAAATCTTGAAAACAATCCAACAATCGAAGCCAAGTGTGAGCATAAAATCGTTCTCTTATATATGTAATTAAATTCATACACATATATGTAAACCTGTTTATTAGATAAACTCGGTTTTCCTTGCTGCTTAGATTCTTATAATTTTTTCAGCAAGATGTTTTGGTGTATACCCGTGGTGCAACGGCATTGATACCATAAAATTGTTAAATTTTGTTAGAAGTTAGCGTATAACGGTTAGATCTTCAAGATTTCATTATGTTAAATTTAGTATTATTTTATTATTTTCAATGAAAGTCGGTTCTTTTTTTTTTTTTTGTTTTTTGGTGACTTAATTTTAATACTTAGGTATTATAAAATATGGGTAGACCTAGGAAAGACGCTGCTCGTATGAGACAACGGCACCCTTACTGTAACCTTATCGTAGGTGACTCTAATATCTGGATAGCCTATAAAAGATTCGACCAAGTGCCGTTATTTTGCTCTTAAGAAGGGAATTTTTCCGTGGATCCCATAATTAGAACCTAACCGAACTCTCATCGAAAACTATCCTTGAAGAACATCC